TACCATTGAAGTGTGGTTACAAAGATCACCCTCTTCATCATCTGGACTAGTGTTCTGAAGAAGAGAGAAAATAGATTAAATTCAGTTGTGTCAAACTCAAATGGAAATAGATCCTTGAAGGCTACATAATGACTTAGAAAACCACAAATTAGCATTATGTTGTATTTTTATTTATTTTGTTAAACATTTCCCAATTATATTTTAATCTGCTTCTGGTGGCACTCAGGAGTTTCCCTGGCATTTTGTGACCTGGCTAGATAATCTAAAAGGTCCCGTCCAACTCTAGCATTCTAGGATTCCATTCCATTCAATTCAATATATATTTGAAGGTTGCCTATTAAGTGTAAAGTGTTGTAATGGGCACTGGAGATAACAAATACAATGCAGCAGTCTCTCCCTCTAGGAGTATATAATCTACTTGTAGTTGTCGGTCCTGTTCAGCTCAGGACTGAGTCAAACAGGGTTAAGTGACTTGTCCAGAGTCACACAGGTAATAAGTATCTGAGGCTAAATTTGAATTCAGGTCTTCCTGACTCCAGGCCCAGTGCTCTACCCACTGCACCACCTACCTGCCCTTATATGTTCCCCGATTTTGCAATTCAGGGTCCCACAAGAGTGGGGAGGAGTAGGCGAAAGAGGGCGGATGGGGGTGCAGTGAAGAATGATAGGGCCAGACTTTGATATTTTTGGTAAAGCAATGGAGGATGAGGAGGAGAATGAATAGAGGTATGTATCGTGGGAAGCATATAAGGAAAGCACACTTTCCTGATCCATGAGGAAGTAGCTATGATGTTTCCTACATATCCTTCTTCCTGCTTCTATTACATTCATTCCAGACACATGGATTACTTCCTTTTTAATTAAGACTTTGCTATCACCAAATCCCACCTGCTGTCATTTCTTGTCTTCTCGAGCATGAGAAAGTAAGAATAACATATTCAATGTCCATTCCTAATTCCTTTCCTCCCAGTGCCCCTGTCAGGGGTAGGGAACCTGCAGCCTAGAGGCCACATGTGGCCCTCTAGGTCCTCAAGTGCGGCCCTTTGTCTGAATCCAAACTTCACAGAACAAGTCCCCTTAGTAAAAGGATTTCTTCTGTAAAACTTGGACACAGTCAAAAGGCCGCACCCAAGGACCTAGAAGGTCACATGTGGCCTTGAGGCTGTTGGTTCCCCATCCCTGCCTAGATCCTGAATGTGAATGCAATTGTGCACATGTGTATCAAGTGAGGGGATCAAAATGCAGCAGCTGCAGAACTAACATCTCATACCATGGCACTGTAGCAGGCAGGAGAACTTTCCAACCTTAGGGAGCTGTTTTTGCACTGAGACTTTGCCTCATTTAGATTTGATACTTCATGGCCCACCCCATGTACCAGATCTGTACCCGGTTATCTACTGGGGGGACAGCCGGTCTGGGGAGATATTTCAGTGTGGTTCCCTGGAGTTTAACCTTTGAGACTCAGGCTATTAGGGACATCCTCCACCCTTCATCCCCTTCCCCTCATGCAGGTTATGGCTTAGTCAGGGATCCAGAACTCTGAAGAGAGCAATGGAGGTGATACATAGGATAGGAAATGTACCCAGTACAGGTCATGGATAGGTGAGGCAAGATTTAAAAGGAGGAGAATCTTGATGTCCAGGGAAAGTAGGATGTAAAGTGACATTCCAGGTGAAGGGTTGTTGTTGTTTGTCCTTTGTTCTCGAAGAGAGGATCATGACATCTGGAAGGCAATGCCGGGACTTGCAAGCGAATTGGATTTAAGTGAGGGAGGGCTGTGCAAAGTCACAACCCTCACTTTCTCTTCTGGAGCCATCTTAGTCCTGTGGCAAGACATAGGGGATGGAGGAATTCCCTCTCTAGAACCTGTAATCTGAAGAACCCTGGGGGCTCACTTCTAGCTCTGTTGATGATTCATAAGGCTAAAAGCCATGGTCTCTGAGGACTCTTCACCCTGATTTTGAAATACTGGACCACTAAGACCCTGTTCCTCTCTCTGTCACTGTTTGTTCCTTTTCGGTCTTGTTAATGGAGGGGTGGCAATGTGTGGTGCAGACTGTTCCTTAAGAGGAAGAAGAAAGGGTTGTAAAAAGGTAATAAGGCATAATTACCCTAATGAGAGTGATTGTTTGGTTCCTGAATTCTGGCCAGAAGCAAGAGACTTCCCAGGGAAGTGATTTCTAACTACTTTTTTTTTTTAGGAGTCTGGGTGATGAAGTGAATGGAGATGTCCCTAATGTCTTTAAAATGACTTTTTCAGTATTCTATTTCTGCCAACACGCTAGGCCAAATGTCTCCACTGAAGGAGGCAGAGACTGATATAAGCTAAACAGTGTGAGGAATGTGACTAGATAAAGAAATTAGGCTATGGAAAAATAGAGATATGATCTGACACAATCCTAGTCAGGGACTAGCATAAAGATAGGAATAGACTAAAGAAAAAAGAATATAAATGAGATAAGGGTATGAACAAATTGAAGACAGGAAGGTGAACAGGCTAAGGATGGGTATGGAGACTGAAGGGATAGAAACAGGGTTGTAAGCAGTGGTGCCAGCAATGGTATAGGGCAAAAGTACAATTTTGGGTTCAGGAAGGAGAAACACTATTCTTCGTGAGGAAAAAACAAGGGGTATAGGCATGAGGCTGAGGTTCAATGGGCTAATCAACTGAGACAAAAGCAAAGTCCTTATTCTCAAATGCTTAATAATTTAATGGGAGACACCACTATGTAAGTTCAAGATACACACAATGTACATGAAAGATAATCTCTGAGAGAAGGCACTATAAAGGGGATGGGGGATAGGAGATGGGGAGGGGAGGGAATGAATTGGTGTGAGGAGAGATTAGAGGCTAGAGGTAGGTAGTCCTCTTTTAGGGGTGGCAGGACAATCAACGAGTAGCTAAACAGGTGTAAGAGATCAGAGCATGGATAACACTTTTACTTTCAATTAAGGAACTTTAACCCTGGGGCATGCCCCTCTCTATGGAATTAAGAATCAGAACCAAGGCCCAAAATTTCATATTTTAGAATTCAGGGGTGGGGAACCTGCGCCCTCAAGATCACATGTGGCCTTCTAGGTCCTTGGGTACAGACTTTTGACTGATTCCAAGTTTTACAGAACAAAACCTTTTATTAGGGGGATTTGTTCTGTGAAGTTTGGACTCATTCAAAGGGCCACACTTGAGGACCTAGAGGGCCACATGTGGCCTTGAGGCTGTAGGTTCCCCACCCCTGAAAATTTAAGATATTTCCTTCTTTCCATTCACACATGCTTCTCACCATCACATGTTTTACATGTTTCATGTTTTGGTAAAGAACTCAGACATCCTGGCTTCTAGACCTCTCTCTGTTTTCCTGATTTCCTGATTTCACCCTTCATAGGCCAGATATGGATCTCAGGTGTCTCAAGCCCTACATCCTCAGTCTCTCCCACCCCCACAACCTCTTATGCACCTTTCTTTCTTTCTTTCTTTTTTTTTTGGTGTACCCTTTATGCATCTTGTTGTAGTTGCACAGTATTGTGTGGGATAATCTGCTTTGTGGGATTTTTTTTTTCCTTTGCTATCTCACCTAGAATTGTTCTTGCTCATTCTCAGTCTCCTTTGCTGGATCTTTATCCAGGTCAAACCTACTAACCACTAACTATGGGTGTCCCCTAAGGCTCCATCTTGGGCCCTTTTTGACTTTCCCACTATACTCTCTCACTTGGTGATCTCAGCTCCCACGGATTTAATTATTATGTCTATGAAGGTAATTCCCAAGTCAATATATCCAACCCTAGTCTCTCTCCTGAGCTCCAGTCCTGCATTGCCAAATGCTTTTTGCACATCTCAAACTCCACATTCCCAAAGTAAGACTCAGTATCTTCACCCTCACACACTTCCCTCTTCCCAATTTTCCTATGATTGTCAAGGGCACTGCCGTTCTCTCAGTCACCCAGGCTGGGATTACTTGTGCTCATCCCATGTATTCAATCTGTTGTTGCCTTGTCTTTTCTACCTTCACAAACTCTCTCTTATATACCCCCTTCTTTTCATTCATTCAGTCACTATCTGAGTACAGGGCCTCATCTCCTCACCAATACTACTGCAACAGCCTTCTGAGATACCTCTTTGTCTGTAATCTCACTCCACTTCATGCCCTCCCTCCCCCCATCCCCCCATCCATATTCTAGTGCCTGCTGTCTGAGATTATCTTTCATTTACATTGTGTATATCTTGAATATATGTAGAAGTGTCTCCCATTACATTATGAATCGTTTGAGAGTGAGGACTTTGTTTTTGTTTAAGTTGCTTAGCCTAGTGTTTAGCAGCTAGTAAGCACTTAATAAATACTTGTGGACCACTCTCACAGGGCTAATTATGATTTAGAGGTGGAAGGGACCTATGAAGCTATTTAATGCAATCCTCCCTTTTGTTTTACAAATGAAGGAATTTAGGTGCATCCAGTGAAAATTACTTGCCCTGAGTCACTCAGGTAAATCAGTGACAGAAGATGGGTAGTTTGTGATATTCCAGAAGGGCTGAATGTGGTCTGGGAGTCGAAGCTGAACTCTGATCACAGATCACATAGGGAATCTTGGCCTCTCCTGTGTGCCAACCAGTCAAAGACCACCTACCTAGGCCCAGTTCTCTTTTAACCTTCAAATCTCATAGAAATGAATTCTTGATAGGACTATAAACTTTCTCCACTCAGATTACGGTGGTGGAGGGTGGGAAGGGGAAGTGGTCTGCCAGATTTCATGCCCCCGAGGCAAAAAAAGGGAAGTATGGTCTATATCTCTTTAATCATCTCCCGGGACAGTTAATTCATTTATTATTCCTTTCAGAGTCTCCTCCCTCTTTCCTCCCTCCCCTCCCAAACAAACACACATTCCATGTTATACTGGGCTTAGTGATTGAATCAAGCTTGGTCTCCAAGGAGACAGGCTAGTTCTTGCGTTTGCAACTGCCATTGGCTGGGGACCTTACTGGCTGGGGCATAAAGCCAAGAGCGAGTGAATATGTGCAAGTGCTTCCTGACTGGGGCATTCGGTGCTCAGCACAGCCAAGCAGAGCGGAGAGGAGTAGAACAAGGCAGAGAGGAGGCGAATACCACGACCGAGCCATGGAGGATGAGTGAGTCAGGCCTAAAGACCCTCAGGGAGACAGGGGAGGAGAAATAGACGTCAGGGAGACTTGGGAGGCTGGGTGAAAGTGATCTAGGAAGCCTAGGAGCATAGAGGGTGCATGGCGAGAACCGAGGCCTAGCACTGTGGGGCTCTCTGCTCCCGCCTCTCTCTCCAGGATGGGGAGGTGGGGGTGGGGACATGTGAGTGTTGAGATCGAACTCTGAGATGGGGCAGGGAGACAAAGTGCAGGCATTGAGATGAAGGAAGTTTAAATTTGGGGACAGTCCCTATTCAAATTAGGAGTCTGATCACCATTCAGAACGGTGTAGTTACCTGCTCCAACCCTGTACCCAGGCACATCTATCCACACACCCTTCCCACCATCATGACCTTGTCTGTTCTGAGATCAGGAGATCACATCTCTGGGAAAGGAATAAGTGCTGGGGCATTCACTATGTTCAAAGACTAGCATCATTGTTCCCTTGTTAGAGGCTCCAGGCTTCTTCTCTCTATCTGATTTTGATTTATCCCTGGGAATGGACCAATAGCTGGAGAGGTTTTATGGAGGGTGGAGGACCTCTCTGTATTTGAGAGTCTAGGGGCCCTCTGGCAGAAGTAGGGAGGCTGGGACTACCGGTGGATGGGACAGACTGAGGGGTACAGGGGTACAGGTGGGGAGTGGGCAGCAGAGTCACGTTTTTCCGGCTTTTCTCCCGCTCCACTTAATTTGAATATCTATACTTCTTTCCTTCCCTTGAGACTTCTTAGCAGGATGGCTTTGTCTTGGAGAAGAAAATGACAGGTTGGGCTTTGGGGTCCAGAGTTCTTGCCAAGTGACTCTGGTGATGAATAGAGAGCAGGGAATGAAGGCTGGATTTGGTTTGAGGATGTCTAGTCCATATCCTAGCTCTGATAATTTCTTGTTACCATTGAGACTCTGGGTTCAAGTCATTTAGTTTCTCTGGACCTCAGTTTCCTCAATTTAAAATTTAAGGTTTTTTCTAGCCCTGAATTTATGATACTGTCATTCAGCCAGAGGCTTTTGAGAAAGAGACTTTTGGGTGTGGTGGTTTATTCAAAACCCTCCACCCTTTTCTTCCTTACTTCTCTTCTGAGGTATAGATCTTTCTTTTTCTTTTTTTCTCCTTTCCTGATTGCCTCTTCCTGTACCACTCCATGACTTCTGACTTCAGGGCTTCAGCAATGCTATTGACCCCTCCTACCCTTCCTGCCCATTCCTTACCTTCTGCAAGGAAGGCTATTGGAATCAGGAATCCTTTGCTCCAGTTTCCTGGGTTCTATTTTTGAGGCAAATAATCCTCTGGAGACGGTTGTTGCTGCTAGAACAATAGTCCCTCTTTTCTTTTTCACTCCTGCACCTTCTAACCTGGCCTGGAGAGAAGCTGAGAGGGAGAAAGAACTTGGAACTGAGAGACTGAAGGCTCCTAAATTGCTACTGCCTTCAGGTTAGTCCCTAAAACTATAGAGAAGACTCAAGGTTGCCTCTTTGCTGAGGGGTCATAGGATCCTAAATTTAGAGCTGGCAGGGACTTCAGAGGCTATCTCCCCATTTTGCAAAATAGGAAACTGAGGCCCAGAGAAGTTAAGTGTCTTGATTGGGAATTTCTTTTTCTTTTCTTTTTTTTTCAGTGGTAGTGGGCAGTATTTCTTAAAGTTAACTTTAGCTAAAAGGGGCTCCTATTCCAGGGAGGAGTGCAAATCTAGCTTCTTGGTGATTTTAAGGAAAGCAAAGGAGAAAGAATTGGTGGACACATAAGTGAATTAAAAAAATCTGTTTACTGCTTTGAAAAACACTTTCATGTAAATTTACCCTCGACAAGCTTCTGCCTGAATTATGGCAGATTGTATTACAACTCTTTGAAGTGAAGAAAAGGGCAGATAGGTGGCCCAGTGGATAGAGCAATGAGCTTGGAGTCAGGAAGATTCATTCTTCATGAGCTCAAATCTGACCTCAGACACTTCCTAGTTGTGTGACCCTGAGCAAGTCACTTAACTCTGTTTCCCTCAGTTTCCTCATCTGTCAAATGAGCTGGAGAAGGAAATGGCAGACCATCCCAGTATCTCTGCCAAGAGAACACCAAATGGGGTCACAGAGGTTTGGACAGACACAACTGAAAAATGACAACAACAATTGAGAAAAATGAGACAGAATTTGGGTGATTTGCTGAAGATCACTACATCTAGGAGCCACAACCCTTGGCCTGGGGCTCTTAACCTCTGTGTACTCTAAATCACTGTAACCTCTCTGAGTCACTTGACAAACGCTCTGATTTCCAATGCCGAAACTCTCAGTTCCTTCCCCAAGATAAAAGCTATCTTGCTCTGGAGCCTCAAAGGAAGAGGAGGCATAAGCATTCTGAGTAACTGGAGGGGAGAGGAGCGGAGGAGATGTCACTCTGTTGCCCATCCCTCCCTACCCCCCATCTCCTCATTACCCATCTGTTAATGAATAGTTTTCATTGATTACTTGATTCTGGGGATATTAGCCTTTCCCTTCTTTAGTTTTGGTTGCCTCTTTCAGTTTATTTAATGAATCTTTTCTCTTTCCTAGATTCAAGTATGAGGATTATAAGAAAACTGCTGAGTGGCTTTTATCCCATACTAAATATCGACCTGAAATTGCAGTGATCTGTGGTTCTGGTTTGGGGGGGTTGGCGGATAAATTGACCTCACTCCAGGCCTTTGACTACAATGAGATACCCAACTTCCCTCGAAGCACAGGTACTCACAGGGATGATGTTGGCAGATTTGGGGAGCAGAGAACTTGGTCTTGGAACCTAGGTGGGATGTGGAGAAAGGCCTATGGAAAAAAAATGTTTTCATAACTAGAGGCAAATCCTTGTAGTCCCAGGATTTGCCCCAGTATTAAAAAGCTATTGTCTTCTAGTAGAAAAAGGCATCAAGAGGTGAGAAAAACCCATCAAAATTAGGAGAGACCATTGCTAGGTTTTCAGGGTGGTTTGATAGAACTCAGTTCCCAGGTGTCAGAAAACATTTCCACCAAGGTACATACAGGATATGTGAATGTCTTTCATTTATGAAAGCATACAAACAGATAAATGCAAACACGGGCAACACATGTATGTACAACACCAGAATCTGACTGGCCATCTGACTTGGGCAGTGTACTGTAGATGTTTGGTAACTAGGAGACTTCCAGTAATATGGAGTCTCTCTCATGTTGTCTTTCTGGGAAATGAGAATGAGCTCATTCTGGTCTTCAGTTGTCTAGCTGTCAAGATTGCCTGGCAAGAAGTTGGAGGTGCAGAGAATTATAATTAGTAGGATAAAGAAGTGTAGGGTGTTTTTGGTTTTTATTAATTTCTTAGATTCCTATCTCCTTTCTCCCTTTGAGAATCCAAGGCCTTAATTAAGGAACATTTTCTAAACTCTTTAAAGTAAGAGGAGTCCAGAGAAACGGTGGGAAAGGAAACAACAGATATTCAGGAAGGCATGGAAAAAGTGCCCTACAACCAATATAGACAGAAGGCCCAATTCCCTAAGAGACAATGAAGTTGGCTCCCATATACTCTCATAATACTCTGTTTGTGAGGGATCGTAACAATCATCATCAAATACAGATATTTCAGCACACCAGGAAGGTCATGAAAGGGAATTAGAAAATGAGTTTATATGCAATTTTTAAAAAAATATATGCTAAATTTAACAAATTAGTAACAAAATTGCCCTTATGTCTCCTTCTGTATTTTTTTTCTCTGAATTAAAAAAAAAGTTTATTGATGCTTTTTTCCCTCCATGTCTACCATTACCCTAACCTACCTTTCCTTCAATCCCCACTTCCAAGTAGAAGCTCTACACTCCTGCTTCTGATTCTCTTTTTGAGTGCACCCCATCTCCTAAGCCATTTATTAATTCTGGAGAGGTTAGGTTAGCCACTCTTTTTGGAAATGACAATTAAGAGACTGATTAATAATAGTTATTATACGAGGTAGTACCAGAAAACTAGCCCTTTGGCCTATTTTCCTTTTACTAATAGGCCATCCTCTGTCCTTTCTTAATCTATCCTCATTTGTCCCTTTCTAGGCCCCTGAGGCTTCTTGGTTGGGAGACTAGGCAGCTGGGTAGCTGAGGACCAATATAATTCCATTCTCAGATTCCAGAGAGAAAACACCAGAGACATTTCTTTTTTCTATTATGGAGTCTTATCCTGGAAGAGGTGAAGCAGGTAGATCATATTTTCATTTTCCCTGGGGGTGTCCATAGACCCCGAAGAACCATTCAGTTCCTGTCCCTTCAGAGGCCCAGAAAATGAGAAACACCTCCTGCTGAATTATTTTGGTTCCCTTTTCCTTTTCCCATGCAGCACCAGGACACGCAGGGCAGTTGGTATTTGGATACTTACATGGCAAGTGCTGTGTGATGATGAAGGGCCGATTCCACCCCTATGAAGGCTACCCACTCTGGAAGGTGAGTCTGATGCCTAGACATAGATGGGTAACTCCTATCAGAAAGGGGTGAGAGATTTTAGTCATTAGTACTAACCTCATGAGTCAACCATTCACCTTTCCCTTCCTTTCTAGATATTATCCAATACCTGTTTCCTTAGCCAGGTAATCATCAGAGTCTCTGGCCCGTTACTTTCGCTATGAGAGATTTGTGGCATGTAAATATTGACACGATGAGGATCTGGGCATTTGAGAGACCAGATAGGCAAGAGGACTGAGGGTACTAGGGAGGCTTTGTACCTTTCTATCTGGATTTTAGGGGGTGGCTGGAGAAGAATGTATCGAAAGCTGAAGGAGAATAATATGGCAAGGTGATAACATGATTAGACTTGACTTCCTATGTGTGGTCCTCCCATGACAGCATAGTTATCTCTTCTTGATGCCAGTTCCCTCCATATTTGGCATAGCAAAGAACCTTGGACTTGGAGTCAAGGACTGGTTTCAATTTTAGCTGTGCTACTCCCTGTGTGATCTTGGGTGAATCACTTAACCTCCCCCTTCGGGGCTGGACAAAATTTATCTTTAAGGTTTTTTCTAGCCATTCCTTTCCTCTTTCTCCCCATCTCTTTCTTGCACTATCTTGTACTTCGGGGCTTTTGTGGAATTCCTGGGTGCCTGACATTTGTCCTTTTGACTCCTTAGGTAACATTCCCTGTGAGGGTTTTCCGACTTATGGATGTGCATACCTTAATTGTCACCAATGCTGCTGGTGGGCTGAACCCTGAATATAAAGTTGGGGATGTTATGCTGATCCGAGATCATATCAACTTGGCAGGCCTCAGTGGCCGAAATCCACTCAGAGGCCCCAATGATGACAGGTATATGGACTTTATTCATAGAGGATGGAGCTAAAATTGATTCTCTGCACTTAGTGGTCAGAGGAGGGTTTCCTCTATCTTAGATGAGTCAACAATTCTCATTCTTTGCTTCAGGTTTGGAGAAAGGTTTCCTCCCATGTCTAATGCCTACGACAGGATTTTGAGACAGATGGCCCATCAGATATGGAAGGAAATGGAACAGGAAAGACCACTGCAGGAAGGAACCTATGTTATGGTGGGAGGCCCCAACTTTGAAACCATTGCAGAGTGTCAGTTTCTGCAGAAACTAGGGGCTGATGCTGTTGGTAAGAAGGGGAGCCCTGGCAGAATTATGGTTTAGAGGCCTAAGGAGGAGATGGGAATTTACAATCCTGAAGGGTTTAAAGGGGAGTAGATCAAACTGAAAGGATTAAATTTAGATTAGTTATTAACTTAGATGAACGGTTTTTAGGGAAATAGCACAGTATCTCTTAAACGTTTTCTATTCAACTGAATTTTGAATGTTAAAGTCAGTGCTAATGATTTACTACTGGTTTAATTAATATCTGCTCTTCTGGCCATTACGGGTCAACCATTTTATACCAAAAATTCCAAACTCCAAAGAAGAAGAGCTCTTTTTTTTTTTTTTGGCGAGGCAATTAGGGTTAAGTGACTTGCCCAGCTAGTGAGTGTCAAGTATCTAGTCTATCAAGTCTGAGACCAGATTTGTACTCAAGTCCTCCTGACTCCAGGGCCAGCGCTCTATCCATTGTGCCACTTAGCTGCCCTTCTCCCCCAGCTCGCTTTTTTCTAAGGGAATCCTAAATCCTAAGACAAATCCATTGAGACAGTCCCTTAATTTCAAAGGGCTTTGCCAGGTAGTTTGGTTGTTCTAATATTTCTCCACTCCACTATGACCTGTCCTGGAGAATACTAGAAGATGGGCTTGAGCTGATTAGCACAGGTCTGAGGTGGATGACATGATGGCCATTCTAAAGGCAGTCTTGACATCAGTTTCCTTTCTTTCCTCATCAGGGATGAGTACAGTGCCAGAGGTGATAGTGGCCAGGCATTGTGGCATTCGAGTTTTTGGATTCTCCCTCATTACGAACAAATCGATACTGGATTATGAAAGCCTGGAGACGGCCAATCATGAAGAGGTATTGGTGGCTGGGACCTTGGCTGCGAAGAAGTTGGAGCAACTTGTCTGTACTCTTGTGGAAAACATGCAGCCACCTTCTGAGAAGACTTTTTGACCCACCGGGCTGCCTGGCCTCTCCTTTCCCTGCTGCCTACTTTGTATTCCCAACAGTGTCCAGCTTTGCCTCCTTGTTTGAGCCATTTAGCTTTCTGCCTGAGGTTGGTAGAGATGTGAGAAACATTGGTATTCCACCTCCTTGGAATAACTACTTATCCTTTCAGGCCCTTCCTAATGGCACCTAATTCTCTTTTATTCCATTGGTCCCTTCCCACCATGGAAAGCTGGATCATTGCATTTTAACTCCTACTCACAGCCAACATCCCAACATCCTTCATTCCACCTCCAATAGACTTGTCTATGAATTAAGTCCACTTTACCTTAAAGCTGTTGCTAATATTTTGAGAAGACTACTTGTACATTCCCTGAGGCCTCACCATACCATCCTATGACTTCTGAGGCTCTTTGTGGCCAAGACCAGTGTGTATTACAAATTTAGTACTATATAGGAATAAAAAGACAGTTAGACAGAAATGTTTCTGCCTTTTTGTGCTGAACACTTGACTGGATGGGGAACAACAGTTTAGGCTGTAAGAATGTTAGGTGTTGTCAAAGAGATAAATAAAAGAGAAGTTTCTACTGTCAAAGGGCATTTGGTGTGGTAGGGGGATATGGGATATAAATGCACAATAGAATATAGAACAACATTTTTAGAGCCAGGAAAGAATTTGGAGTTCACTCAATATAATCCCTCATTTTATAAATGAGGAAACAGAAGGAAGAATTCAAAGTCACATATAGCCAGTTAGCATTCCAGCTATGGAAACCTGCAAGAACACATATAGAAAGGTGGGAAAAAATTCAAGGGCCAGTGAATTATCTCCTTTCTTAGGGTTCCTCAAGGAGAATTGTATGAATAAGGCTAATAAATCTTAAATGCTTGGCTAAGGAATCTGGGTTCCCGTCTGGAAAAAAAATGAGAAACTATTAATTTTCAGCAAGAGAGAGATATGAGCAGAGTAGTATGCCTGGTACATTAGGAAGCTGATTAATAGCTCTCCAGATTAGGACAGAGAGAAACAAGTTTAGAGGTCAGTTTAAAAGCTTGGACTGAAGTGCAACAGGCATGAGCTTAGCTGGTGACAGTATTGATACATTCAAGGGATGGCAGAGGTAGAATCCCTAAAACTTGACAACTGATGTGGAAGGTTTGGGGAGTCAAATGATCCCCGAGATTCCAGCCTTGGGAAAGTTGGAAAATAATGGTGCTATTAGGTAGAAATTAGAAAGAATGATGAATTTTATGGGAACCTAGCTCTTAATATGTTTTGATTCTCAGCACTGACAACCTTAGATTTGGTCTATAATGTCTACATGGACCTGTACACTAAACAGATAGATAGAAGTATAGACCTAGACCTCAGGAGAGGTCAGAACAGGAGATAAGATTTTTGAATCATTGGCATAGGGGTCAATAGTCCTGGGAGTATATAAAACCAAGAAAGGGAGGTACAGGGGGTGAGGCTGGGGCAAGGAAGAGTTTACATTTAAGGGGTGGGAGGAGAATGAGGACAGTGGTCAAAGGGGTCAGATTTTGCATAAAAGGCAAGGAAGGATGAGGACAAAAGTTCCAGAGTTTGACAATTAGGTAGGTCAGTGGTAACTTTAGAGAACAGTTTCACAAGAATGTGAGTAGTAGCCATCAGACTATAGGGGGCTGAGCAAACAAGTGGTCAGGAAGTAGCTAAACAATGCACTTACCTTCTGATTTTATTCAACAAAGGAATTAGGCTCTCCTACAAGTATGGCATTTGTGGCTATGCATAAAACAAAGGAAGTAGTTTTCTGTTTCCCAGATAGCCAAAATATTCTACTAGGGCAAAATTGTGAGACCAATTTGGCACCCTTCTGCTTTTAAGCTGAGTTTTCCCTCACTCTTGATGGCCCTTGTCTCCAAGGCAACTACTGCTCTCCTAATACCTTATGGCAGGCTAGAACCTCTCCTCTGGTGCCTCCGGTTCCTAGACAGTACTTTATGCTCTGACCTCTTTCTATAAAAATATGCTTTTCCAGCTAGATATTAACCAGAGGAAATGGTTTTATTTCAGTATCAAGATGTCTCTTTGGCTTTCTTGCTTAACTGTGCCCAATTTGTGTTGTCACTCTTCATGGTACCACCATCTTACCACCAAAACAGTTGCTTCATACAATTTGCCGTTAGCATCTGCTTTTTCTCTCTGCCAGAACAGATAAGTTCTGATTTGAGACTACCTTCTGCATCTCTCTTCTAGATAAGCACCCCAACTATAATTTCTTTATATTAATTGGAGAAAAGATTCAACTTTAGGATACCTGTTAGGGTGGGTGAAATTAAATCAAGAGTTGGATTATGTCTATGGGCTCTCTTTCCTCTTCTGCATTTCTGAATACCATGGCTTGGCTCTGATAGAACTAAATGAGTTGGAACCATGCAACTTGAGAATTAAGGACCCAAGAGTGTCTAGTGGCTTTTTCAGGACCAAACATAGATAGCTTAATTATTAGCAAGTGTGTAGAAAGTAATAGTGTGCCATAGGAGTTACAGTATTTGATGGGAAGATGATTAAGCAGAGGCTCACTGGTATCCTAACTACAAAGCTCAGATAGAGGAGGACATGCACTCTACTGGAAGTGTGTTGAGCTTTTTATGCGATAGAGTAGCTACCCAACTTCATTTTCACTTGAAAGAAATTGAGTCATTTTGTGGTGTCCCAGCAATGCAAGCGGCCACCAAGAAGGTAGGGAAAGTAAAAATTAACCTTGGGAGAGACTTATAGCCAAACTCCACACCTTTACTCTCACTATTCCCTGTGCTTGGAGTGTTCTGGGAAACAATTCTCTCCTCTTCCTTCCTTTCACCTTGAAGGCTTACTATATATATATATATATTTAAGGCTTACTACTTTTCTAAAAATGTGACTTCTTTCAGAAAGCCTTATTAAAACTCCAATAAGAAATGATCTTTCTTTCCTTGGCTCTTGAATAGCTCTTTGTACTTGTCTTAATGTTTTTATATATTCTATTTTGCACTATAATTCTGGATATTTATCAAATTGTCAATATGTATATTTTGTATTTCCCTATGAGAATAATAACTATGCCTTAAGTGCATTTTTATCTCCTTTAATCACCTAATTTAATAAATATTTAATAAATGGTCCACGAATGAGTGAATCTTAGCTGTAAGTAACTCATACTTGTAATAGTGCTTCATGAGACTTTACAAAGTTTTTTTTCCACGCCAATCAATAGATTCTATATGCATTTATTATGCTTACTGTGTATAGTACTTTGTCCTAGGTTTTGCACATTTCCAAAGTAGTCTATCAAATGAGAAATAATATTGTACAAACTATATAAGGGTATAGGACTTTCTGTGTAAAAGGTGGTGGCCACAGATTAAATGATAAACAAAAAGAAGTTAGTCTGGGAAGGCTTCCTAAAGGTTACTTCTAGATAACAGCAGAAACATGTGTATATGTACATATAGTATGTTTGTGTGTGTATACATATATTTTCTTTGCACAGAGCTCTGTTTATGTCATTTGATTCTCACAACAACTTTGTGAGGTAGGTGCTATCATCCCCATTTTACAGATGAGGACACTGAGACTGACAGGTTAACTGACTTGCCTAGGATTACACAGCTACTAAATGTCAAGAGTTAATAGCTGACCTCAGTTCTTCCTGATTCTAAGTCTAACACTTTATTCATAATGCCACCTAATTTATCAGATCACACACATACCTCCCTAAAAGAGCCTGAAAGACTCTTTTAGGGTGGGTAATGTTTAGAGTTTATTCAGATAGGAAACATGTATGAAAAGATAACAAATGCAACAGCAATGGTCTAAAACAGGCCACATGTGGACTCAAGGTTGCAGGTTCCCCACCCCTGGTCTAAAATAACAGGTTATTGGTATGGACAATATTTTCTCTCTTTTTTTATTAATTTATTTTGATTTATCAACAATCACTTCCATATGCTTTTGAATTTAAAATTTTTCTCCCTTTCCCTCCCTACCACCCTCCCCAAGATGGCACACAATCTGATATAGGCTATACATTTACATTCTTATTAAACATATTTTCACATTAGTGATGTTGTAAGTTAGAATTAGAACTAATAAGAGGAACCACCAGAAAGAGGAAACGAAACACAACAGAAGAAAAGAAAATAGGAAATAGTATGCTTCAATCTGCATTCAAACTCCATAGTTCTTTCTTTGGATGTGAATAGCTTTTTCCATCATAAGGCCTTTGGAGATGTCTTAGATCCTTGTATTGCTGGGAAGGGTTAAGTTTATCAATATTAGTCATCGCAGAATGTGACTGTTATTGTGTACAATGTTCTCTTGGTTCTGCTCACTTCACTCAACATTTCTTATAGCACAATAGTATTCCATCACAATCATATACTGCACTTTGTTCAGCCATTCCCCAATGGATGGGCATCCTCTCAATGGACAATATTTTCTCAAGTAAAATGAGGGCATTGGACTAAGTGACCTTTGAGTATTATTCCAGCTCTAAAGTCTTTGATCTATATATACTTTCAAAGGAAAGGCTGATCACCAAGTTTTGGATTGTGGAAGAAGAGCCCGAGAGAGACTTAAAATTTTTTATTTTTTGGAGGCGATTGGGATAAGTGACTTGCTGAAGGTCATACAGCTAGTGTCTGAGGTCAGATTTGAGCTCAGGTTTTCCTGACTTCAGGCCTGGTACTCTATCCACTGTACCACCTAGCTGTCCCTTTTAACTTAATTTATTGATTCTGCAAGATATTGATATAATTTTTAGCTGATTTATAGATATAGCTTAAGTTTAGTAGCTTTAAATGGCACTATGACTTTTGGGACACCCTGTTTGCTTGGCTTTCCAATAACATGAATAGATATTTCATCTAGGATTTGGTCCACCCTTCTCCATTTGGATACTGCCTTTGTAGATAGATGAAGGGCTGGAGGAATATTGGACTGGAATTACATTTGTCCATCCCTTGTCAGATATTGGCAATCTAGACCAGTGGTGAAAAACTCAAAGAGAAACAGATCCCTGTTGGCTGCATATGGCTTAGCAACCTATAAATTAAGATTGTCTATATTATATTATTTTTACTTATTTTGTTAAACATTTTGACCAATTACATTTTAAACTGGATTTGACACCTCTGGTCTAGACATAGAATACTTTAGGGGATCCTAAGATCATCACCACTTTCCCTGATTATTTAAACACTGGTAACCCAGAAAACCATATGAATAGTTATTAAACCTTTTCTTAAAAAAATCAAAGTAATTATCAAACAGAGAATCAGACATCAGAGATTAGGGTAGACTATAATAATTGTTGTTCAATCATTTTTTCAGCTTTGTTCAACTCTTCCCAACTTTTCTGTGACTCATTTGTGGTTTTCTTGGCAAGATACTGAAGTGGTTTGCCATTTCCTTCTCCAGCTCATTTTACAGATGAGAAAACTGAGGCAAACAGAGTTAAGTGACTTGTCCAGGGGCACAAGTAAGTGTCTGAGGCCAGATTTGAACTCAAGAAAATGAGTCTTCCTGACTCCAGGCCTGACACTTATCCACTGTACCACCAGCCGCCCAGACAATAATATAGTAGCTAGCATTTATATAACAGAGTGCTTTATACATGTTATGTCATTTGATCCTCACAACAACCTTGTGAGGTAGATACTATTACCCTCATTTTACAAATGAAGACCTGAGGTTGAGAGAAATTAAATCACTTGGACAGAGTCACATAGGAAGTATGAGGTAGGAGTTGAACTCATGTCTTCCTGACTCTAGGCTCCACTCTCTACCCACTGTGCCACCCAGCTGCTTTTAGAATACGTCAGAATAAATGAACTTTTTATTTAGGAGCAAGATTTTAAAAATAAGCAAAAACAATCCTTGTTCCACCAAGCAGAAAACCATAACGAGAGAGAGAGAGAGAGAGAGACAAAGTAAATTCTTACTCTGGAAAGTCTACTTGTACAGTCTCTAAGATTGTAAGTGCTGGGAATCAAAAAGTCAAATTAAGAGCTGGCTTCCCTCATCTCTCAATATTCTTCTCCAAAGTGTGCCCTCCAAGCACCTGAAGTAAGTCACTTTTCTACTTATACAAGTTTCTCAGCCAATCAGGACTCACGTTCCTTTACAGGTAGCAGTATAGCACAATCACAATGTCCTTTAGGGTACTGTCCACTGAGTGAGTGAAGGTGTTACATTTTTAAAAGTATATTTAAAAAAAAAGAAGCTAAATCAAAGTATGGTTGACTGGATGACAATGGCTGATGGGGAGATGGAAGAACTACTCAACTTTCATTAATTTTATTTATTTATTGCTCCTGTCAGTATGAACTATGCTTAGCCTAAAAAGGACAGAGCAATAACAAAAAGAGAAAGGACAGGAGAAAATGGTTTAAAAAAAAAAAGGAGATGAAACCCAAAATAAAGTGAAGGTAGTAAAAGAGCAAGGCCAAGCTGAACTTCCTCCCATGGAACTGAAAGACTGGGGCAGATATGATTTCTGAGCTAATGTCTGTGATCTTTGGAAACTTGTGGAGATTGGGAGAGATGTCACAGGAATGGAAGAGGAAAAGGACAAATGTTCTAATTTTCAGAAAAAGGGTGTGTATGGAGTCTGAAAATTCAAAGACAGTGATGACTTCAGTGATGATTGATGAATTTGTAGAATGTTTTATTAAAAGAATAGTTTCTGAAAATCTAGAAAAGAAAACGGTAATTGCTAAAAGCCAGTATTGTTTCATAATGAACAGATTATGCCAGTCCAATCTTATTTCCTTTTTTGATACAGTCATTAGATTGGTAAATCAAGGGAAAGCTATAGACATAGTTTCCTTAAACTTGAGTAAGGCATTTGATAGCATCTCTAATGTTGTCTTTGTAGAAAAGATGGAGAGAATTAGATGATTGTATAGTCAGGTTTTTCTAGAATTAGAATCAGAATTCCTAAGGTGTATTCAGGAATACTTTCATGTCAGCTTAGGGAGAATATTTGAATGGAGTACTCCAGAAACTTATCCTGGGTTGGTTAACATTTTTTTTAATCAATGGCTTGTATGAAGGCATAAATATGCTTATTAAATTTATGGATAGTTTAAACCTGAGAGGAATAGTTAACATGTGGGAAGAGAGGATCCAAAAAGATGCTGACAAGCCAGAATGATGAGCTAGATTTAGTAAAATAACATTTAATAAAGATAGATGCAAAGCCTTCCCCTTGGTTTAAAACAATCAGTTTCAAAGGTACACTATAGAGGAAATGTGGCTAAATAGTAGCCTGTCTGAAAAAAAAAATCCCAGGATTTTCAAGGAGTATTAGATCAATATGAATTCAATAATGTAATCAACAGCCAAAGCAAGCAAAAAAAAAAATATGGTCTTTGGCTACGTCAAGAAAGGTGCAATGTCCTAACGAAGGAACCCTGTCCTGGTCAGACCACAGCTATTGTACTTGCTTCTTGGCACCACATTAAAAAAACAACAACACATGTATACACACACACACACACACACACACACACACACACACACACACACATACTGACAGGATGAATAGCATCCATAGGAGGAGACTAGGATAGTGAAAAGCCTTGAATCATGGTATGGATTGGCTGGTGGAACTGAGTAAATTTAGGCTGGAAAACAGAAGACTTGGAAAGCATGATAGATGTTTTTAAGTGTCTGAGAGGCTGTCATGCATTTGGGGGAAGAATTGGAATTGTTCCACTTGGCCCCATAAGGCAGAGTTAAGAGCAATGCTTGAAAGCTGAAAAGGAGTAGATAGAATGAGGTTCAGTGTAAGGAAAAACTTCCCTGTTGAGGTCAGATTCAGAAGAGCGGTTTGAGTGTGAAAGAATTCACTTAAAAGGTGAAAGCAGGGACTCGCTGAACTCTCCCCCAAATCTCTTCAAATACCTCTAAAAAGTGAC